TCAGTGTGTGGGACACAGCTGTGACTGAGACTGCAAGTGCATCCCATCTGGCAGAGCGGATATTTATTAAACCAATCATCACACAAGCAAAGGAGCAATAACTTAATTGTCAACATGATAGAGGCTTGAGTTGGGGTGTAGTGACTTAGGGGGGCTAGGCTGAGCCAGGAGGTCAGGGAGGGACATTCAGGCTGAAGAGGTGGCCAGGAAGAGAGCAGAGCCTTCCAGGTAGAGGGAACAGCCTGTGTGGGAACCCTGAGGAGGGAAAGTGCCAGGAGTCGTGTGGAGCCTGGCAGAACTGGGTGCGAAGGGGGTGGTGGGAAGCATCATGTGATGCTGGACCCCTGAAGGCCTCAGCTTCCCGTTGGGCTCACACCTGGCCCAAGCAGGCACCTGGGCAGCCTCCAGCTGGTGCCTGGCCTGAACATCCCCCTGCAGAAGGGAAAAACATGAGTCCCCATCCTTCCCTCCAAGTCTTTACGCAGTGTTGCCAGGGACCTCTTGCTCCCTCCCTCCCTTCCTCAGCAGGTTACAGCCCCTGGGCCCAGAACTCAGGCCTATCACCAGGGAACCAGGACCTCTGGTTGCCGTGGCAACCCTGAGCTACCCAGACACCTGGGTGATCCTGCCTGTTGCCATGACGCCAGCCAGCCACCCACCCTCCATCAGATCTTCCTCCGGTGCAGGAGGAAGCGGCGGAGGAGGCAGCTTCCCAGATGCCTCCCAGAGCTGAGGGGAGGTCAGAGAAGGAAACTGAGGCTTAGAGAGCTGTGTGAGGCAGGGCTCCTCCAAAGGCCACATCTGCCGGCCCCGCCCCTGGGAGAAGCCCCAGATGGAGGCCAAGGGCCCTCTCTCTCCTGAGACTCCAGAAGGAGCCAAGAGTTACTGGGCAGAGGAGCCCAAAGGCCTTCGCTTGGCACTCGGAGCCCTTACCCCCATGAAGCCCTCCGAAAGGTGAGTGATGCAAGTGGGCATTGCATTTCTCTGAATGCACACCCACACCTCCAACATACACACTCGTGCGCCTAGGACACTGTCCCTTCTCCCCAGCTTCTGTCCATCCCTCAGGGCCCAGGTCAGCTGCCACCTCTTCCAGGCAGCCATCACTCACCACCTTCTTGGAGGGGACACCTCCCCTCTCCACACACCCACAGTGCTCATGGTTTCTACCTTCACCACCTGACAGTATTCGTTCCACATCTATGAGGCATCTATTCTGGGCCCAGCCCTGGGCTGGTCACCAGGGCTTCAAGAATTAATGCACTAGGGCCGGCCCCGTAGCTTAGCGGTTAAGTGCACGTGCTCTGCTACTGGCAACCTGGGTTCGGATCCCAGGCGCGCACCGATGCATCGCTTCTCCGGCCATGCTGAGGCCATGTCCCGCATACAGCAACTAGAAGGATGTGCAACTGTGACATACAACTATCTACTGGGGCTTTGGGGGAAAAAAAGGAGGAGGATTGGCAATAGATGTCAGCTCAGAGCCAGTCTTCCTCAGCAAAAAAGAGGAGGATTAGCATGGATGTTAGCTCAGGGCTGATCTTCCTCACAAAAAAAAAAAAAAAAAAAAGAATTAATGCACTAGGGCCGGCCCTGTGGCTTAGCGGTTGAGTGTGCACGCTCCGCTGCTGGCGGCCCGGGTTCGATCCCGGGCGCACACCGACGCACTGATTCTCTGGCCATGCTGAGGCCGCGTCCCACATACAGCAACTAGAAGGATGTGCAGCTATGACCTACAACTATCTGCTGGGGCTTTGGGGGAAAAAATAAATAAATAAAATTATAAAAAAAAAAAGAATTAATGCACTAGACACACAGCAGCAGACAGACAGACAAACAAAACATTCTGCCCTTGGGGTTTAGTCTTGAGAGAGGGGAGCAAGGACAAAGAAACAGAGATCAGCCCCAAGAAGCCCAAGGCAAACTGGCTTAAGCCAAAAATCAAGGGACAGTATGGACTTCAGGCACAGCTTGATCCAGGACTTCCAGCAATGGTATGAAGACACTGTCTCTCTCCATCCCTCTGGCTGGCTCTGTCGTTGTGGTGACAAATGGCCCTTGGGAGTTCCAGACTCACATCTTCTCAGCTCAACAACTGCAGTCAACAGGGCATGTCTGTCCCCCAGTCAATCCCACTAATATTTGAGGAGGCTTGGATCATGCTGCTCAACTTCCCCTGAGCCACATAGGTTTGATCAGACCAAATCACAGTCCTATTAGGAAGGAAGAACAGGGTGCTGGGTGCAGGGTAGATTCCTAGCAAGTACATGACAGCATTCTGAGCAGAAGGAGCAGCTGTAGCAAAGGCCCAGAGGCTGGACCATTGATGTTACTGCAGGAAACAGTGAGGATGGAGCTCATTTTGTCTCCAGACCAAAAGGTGAGAGGGACGTGACAGGAGAGGTGGCTGCCAGCTTGGTGAGATTAAAAGCCCTTAAAAGGTAAGCAGAGGAAATTAGGTGGTGTCCGAGGGCAACAGGGAGTCATGGGGGGTCAGCAGGGGAGGGACAAGATCTGACCCCACATAGGGAATGGACTTGACCAGGTGAGGCTGCTTCTGGGGTCTGAGAGGGAAACCAGGAGACACCCAAGCAAAAATAATTACTGATCACCTGCTCCACGCCAGGTTGTGTATGAGACCTGTGGGAGCTGCCTTCATGGAGCTTATAAAATTATGTTATGCCACTGTTGAAACAAATAATTATTAATCAACTATAAATGTGGTAAGTGCAGAGAAGATGGACAGAGAGCTGAACATGGGTATAACAGGGGATGCTGGCCCAGTTGGGGGAGGCTGGGATGTCTTCTACTGAGGAGAAGCCCTTTTAGTCGAGAACTTGGGCAGAGCAGGGCTGCGAGGGTGTTCCTGGCAGAGGGAAATGTAAGTGCAAAGGCCGGCCCTGGGGCTGGAAGGAACAAAGTAGGCTTGAGGAATCCAGAGGGAACCTGTGTGGCTGGAGCATAGTAAGTGAGCAGCAGAGCCTCTGTAGAGGTGGTTGTAGATGTTAGTGGGGCCAGATCATGGGGGACCTTGTTGCTACATGTGGATGTTTGGGCTCCTCATGGCAGCAGTAAATTCCGGAAGGGGGTGATGTATGGGTTCAAATTTGCTTTATATGGACAGCTCCCAGCTGCTGCATGGAGCTAAAGGGTGGCTGGAGGGGAAGCAGGGAGCCCCGAGAGGAGGCGAGCGCTGTCGTGGGAGGTGGTGGCAGCTTGGACCTTGGAGGTTGCCATGAAGATAAAGAGCAACATGTGGGCTGGAGGCCAAGGGGACAGGCCCTGCTGATGGGACACGGTGGAGCGAGGACAGGGGACAGTCCAGACACTGTGCAGGTGTCCAGAGCCGCTGAGGTGGGGAGGCTGGGGCAGGGTGGGGATGCAGGGAAAGGATGACCAGGGTCCTCTTCAGCTGGACTGAGCAGCTACGGTAGCCATTTGAATGGATAGTGGTGATGGTCACACCACACAGTAGATGGACCTAACGCCACTGAACTGTACACTTAAAAACTGGTTAAGATGGCAAATTTTATATGATACATATATTTTACCACCATAAAAACATTGAGGAAAACCCTAAAGGCCCACCAGCTCAAACCAAATAAAATGAGAAACGCAGTTCTTGGGTCACGCTAGCCACATGGCAAGGGCTCTGGAGTACCGTGTGGCTGGGGGTGGTGCACACAGTTTCTGTCATTGCAGAAAGTTCTACTGGGCAGCACTGGCCTGGCCTTGCTTCTTACTTCTGCCTAGGTCTCACTCCTGGCGACGTTCCTAGAAGCTACCCTGAAACCCCATGCGGGGTCCAGAATGACAGCCGGGGGGCCCATGTTGCCTGTGCGTTGAACCCAGTTGCTCATGGTATCAGGCGGGGTCTGCTCGGAGCGGACGATCCAGGAGAGGTGCAATACCGAGGCTGTTGTCGAAGGTGCAGTCAGGTTTGGGGGCCTGACAGGTGCACGCAGGGTGCGCGACAGTGGGGGTGTTACCCGGTCCAGGCTGCAGGCTCACAGAGAGGGAGGGGCCGCCTGTGGCCTCGGGTTGGTGAATGCAGGGAGGGACACCAGGAGATAAACACCCTGACTTCTCCCGCTTCTTCCTCCCGCCTCCTGCCCGCGCTTGCCACCAAGCTCCCGCCCCTGGCTGACTCTGTCAGAAGGTGGAGGGCCCAAGTGGATCAACCTCCTGGGACACAGGGCGGGTGAAGGTGGAGGAGCTTATACCCAGCCCCCCCGAGCTCCCTCTAACTCGCCTTCCCCCACCCACCCCCGTCGCCCACAGGCCTCCATCAGCCCCTGGAAACCTCGCCCCGTTGACCACCACGCCCCTCATCCTGAACTCTCCCCAGGAGATGAGGCCCCCGCCAGCCAGGAACCTCTGGTTTCAGCAACAGAAACAACTCTCGAAGACATAACTACAAGGGGATCGATTGGGAGGCTCTCAGGCTCTTGAGGGATCTGCAGAGAGGACAGGGAGGACAGAGAGCCAGGGCAGGCTGCCCTGTGCTGCAAGACTCCTCTCCAGCGCCAACTGCACGGTGGGAATGTCAAGGCTGGACCCCTCGGCCAGAGAAGGGGAGAGGGCCCACGGTCAGTGCCCTGAAATTGCCCCCAATGGGGCGGAGCTCCATTGCCAAAAGAAAGGGGGATGGAAGCCAGACGGCCACAAAATTAACAACCATCCTCTTCAAGAGGCGAACTGTCCATTTCACAGGAAAGACACGGTGGGGGAGGGCAGGATGGGGCATTGACCCACCCGGCCAGGCAGGTGGCACAGGCCACTTTTCCAGGGACACCCCTGGTCAGGAGTGAGACGTGGGCTGGGCAGCAGAGGGGCTGTCCCTCCAGGTGGCAGCTGGTCTGCACCCCTTGAGCCACAGGGAGTTCCCGGGGCTTCCCCCATCTCCAAAAGGGCCTGGTGGGCAGGGGTCACGGCCATGCTCAGGCCACTCCCTCAAGGGCAGACGGAAAGACAAACGGAAGCAGGCTGGGTCCAGACGCCTTTTATATACACCGTTTATTCCTCCCAACCCCCCAGCTGCAGCCCCAGCCTCAGCGCTGCCCACCGCCTCCGCTCACGGGGACCTCCTCTCCTAGGCTGGGATCTCCAGAGGTGGGGTGGGGAAAAGCAGGGAGCCCTAGCACAAGGCGGCTTCCCTGAGGCCTCAGCCCCCCCAGAGAGGGGAGAGAGGAGGGAGGAGGAAAGTGGGGCTCAATACTCAAGAAGCTGCACAATAGAAGCCAGAAAGAGCACGCTCTGAGGAGGGGGCAGGGAGGAACCAAGGCCAGATCCCCCCTAGCGACCCCAGGACCCAGGGGGGAGGGGCGGGCCTGCAGAGAGAAGGATTTGGGGGTAGGGGAGCCCAAGAGTGGTCGCCCCCTGGCCTGGACTCCTGAGTGCAGGGCAAGGGGGACCCGAGGAGCCCCTGCGCTTGGCAGTGCCCGGCAGCCGGAGGCCTACAGCTTGGTCAGGTCCAGCTTCAGCCTGTAGGGTGGGGGGCTGTCCCCAAAGGCGTGCGATGGGGGAGGGTACAGGGGCCAGTCTGGCTCCACGATGAAGCCCTTGTGCTGCTCCAGGGTCAGGGGCTGCAGGGGGAGGGCAGGCTCTGAGCCCCGACCCAGGCAAGGCTCCTTCCCACCCCTGGCCTCAGGGCACACCCCGACTCAGGGTGGACGTTGTTGCCCCCACTTCACAGGGGAGGGAAGAAACTTGCCCAGTGTCACACAGCAAATCAGGGCTCCCTGCCTCCATGGGAGAGAGGGCGGCCCAGTCCAGGACTAGGGAGCCCCTCTCCTCCCACCCCTCCCCCCGGCCCCGCCCACCTGGAACTTGAGGTGCTGGCCAGGCGCAGTCACCAGGGTAGAGCAGCTCAGCCACAGCATCACCAGCACCGAGAGGAAGAAGCAGCAGGCCAGGATCCAGCGAGGAAGCCCCGAGCGCCTGCGCGGCCCGCAGGCACACTCAGCGGCCCTAGTGGGGTCAGAGAGACCCTCCCCTCCAGCCCCAGCCCCATCCCACCCCCAGTGTCCTGCCACCCACCGGGACATGCAACTGAGGAAGTCATTGTCCTGCAGCTCAGCAGAATCCACCTTGGCCTTGCCGCTGGTCTTAACTCGGATCTTCGCCTTCCTCACCTTGTCCAAGGGACCTACAGGATCTGAGAAACAGGTCACCTCTCAGTGGCCTCCAGGCTTTCCCCAAGAGCCACAGTAGCCACGGACAGAAGAAAAGAGGCCAGGATCTGGGGCAATGGAGCATAGAGTCTTGGAATAGATCAGAACCCTGGAGACGGGCCGCGGAACCCTGGGAGGACCGCGGAACTCTGGGAGAAGGACCGTGGAACGCTGGGAGATGGACCGCGGAACCCTGGGAAAAGGACCACAGAATCCTGGGAGATGGACCAAGGAACTCCAGGAGTTGAGAGAGAGAAATTCCAGTCCTAGAAGGTTCATTTGCCAGGAGGACTCCTTATGGAAGTGGAGCCACCTGTAGAAGGAGCAGTGGTGTAGGTTCGGGCCTTACCCACATGCACCTCCAAGGCCTCAGGGTGAGATCCCCGCCAGGTCACCTCCACTCGCTGCAGATGGGCCCCCTCATGCCCCAGGCTCTCTACCACAGGCTGGGTCTGGATCGGGAAGAAGACAGCACAGAGAAGCCCTTTAGAAAGGCACCACCTTGGCCCTGGGAAGCACTTCTCTGTGCCCCTTGCAGGCTCCATCATCCCATGCCCAGCTGGTACCTAGTTCCACTGGGGACAGGGTGAACACCCTCCTGTGGGGCTGTGGGCTGTGATGTCAGGGATGTTGTTCCCTGCTATTGTGGGCCCCTCGATTTGTCTTGATGATCCTCCAGCTCTTGAAGTAGGAACATGATCCAGGCCAAGCCAGTAGAATCACAGGTATTGGCTGAGAGGTGGTCATTTGACCCAGCCAGGGCGAATCAGTAAATCCCGACTTAGAGTTAAAACTCCAGAAAGGCTGTAATCTAGAGCCTTAGGCATCCACCCGGCTATCAGGAGGGAAGTGCTTGCCTGGGAATGAAGCTACCACAAAGGAAAGCAGAGTCAAGGGGTGAAGTGAGACACTGAACCCCTGGATCCAGCTGTGCCTGAAGCTTACTCACCTGTAGACTTTGCATCCCATCAGCCAAGAACCAGTGCTTCCCACCTTCTTACCCTGACCACCCACCCACCATTCTTGTGTGGTCCCTGCCAAACTCCTCACCTGGAACACCACCACCTTCCCATTGTCAGTCTGCAGGTAGTATGTCCAAGTGGAGGAGACGAAGCCCTGGGCTGAGTTGACAAGGTCATTGCAGAGGGTGGACAACAAGTCCAGAAGCGAGAGGGCCCCGCTTGGAGCTTCCAGGACCTTTCTCTGCCAAGGGGAGGCCCAAGGCACAGAAATGTCACCAAGGTAGGGCATTACCCAATGGGAGGGGAGCCAGGAGAATTCACTGTGATCATAATTTGCTAAGTGATTTGGGGCAAGAGGGCTTCATACAATGAACGCAGATCTCAGTGCTGCATTTGGCTGGCTGTGTGCCCTTGGGGAAGTGGATTGCCCTCTCTGAGCCCTAAAATGGGGATGAGTCTCTTTCCTCATGGAGTTGCTATGAGATTTCAACTAGACAATAGCATAGCACAAGTACCTAATATGTAGTAGCTGCTATTACTAAAAATGTCACCATCATCGTTATGATTTTGACAGTGTCAGGAGAGAACTTGGAATAAGAAGGAATGACAGTGCAGTGTGCTTCTATGAACAGCGAAAGCCTAGAGGAGGTGGAGGAAAACAGGTGCAGGAGGAAGGGCTTTCTGGGGAATCCCAGCCCATGGGTCTCGGGCTGGGAGCACGGGTCCTGCGGTTTCCCCTGATGCTGCATTGCCTAGATGTGCCCATGGACTATGGCAGGCAAGCAGTTATTATTCCTCTCTGCCGGGGGAGGGGGGGCACTGTGTGTGTGCTTGGGAGGCAGCTCTGCCCTGAACCTCAGTTCTGAGCCCCCAGATGACAGTGGCCACCTGTTCATCACAAGGAAAGTACCTAGGCCAGCAGCACCTGGCATGCAGTAGGTGCTCAATAAAGTCAGCTCTGAGGACACTGAAGATGAGTGAGGTGAGGGGGGGTCACAAGCCCTGGGGGCACTGGCTTTAAATACCACCTCTGCATAGCCCTACCTGTGTGACCTGGGGCAGTTGCTCCATGGGCATGAAATGGGAGTCCCAGGTGCCTCCGGGTGGCATGAGAAATTTGGGGCAGGCTGTGGTCAGGCCTGGACCAGGACAAATGCCTGATAAATGTGGTTGTTTCCTGCCATTTACTCCTTGCAAGGTGGTGGTGGAGGGGGGTGGCAGGGGGAGTACTTCACATGTCACAGAGATGACAGTTGAGGCCTGAAACGTGATATGGCTTGATGGAGGACACCCAGTAGACCTGGGACGGAACGGAGAGCCTAGGAGACTTTGGACATGAGTGTGGATTTGGAGAGGCACAGAGGGGCGGGGGATGGGCCCGGGGCCACAGGCGGGAGGGCGCCCACCTTCTGCTCGGGCTCAGGCTCGGGCTCGGGGCTCGGGCTCCAGCAGCCCTCACTGCAGGCCTGCTGCTCCATCTCCTTCACATAGGCCTCCACGCAGGCTGCGGGGGGCAGGAGGGGGTGATGAGGCGGCCCTTCCCAGGCCTCCTCTCCCTTCCCAACCCACCCAGCCAGCCCCCACCTGCTTCACACTCCGCCTGGGTGGCATTGGGCTTGGAGCTCCTGGCCACAAACCGGCAGATGGAGAAGAGGCGGCAGCCGCGCTCGCAAGCGCTGATCAGCACGGCCTTGTCATCCTCATTCGGGGACTCCGAGGGGTCCTCCTCCTCCTCCTCCTCCTCCTCCTCCTCCAGCTCGGCCTGGGAGTGGGGTACACAGGGCTTAGACCGGGGGGAGGGGTGTTGGGAGGTCAGCACTGGAAGCACTCAGGGGACGAGGTAGAAGATTTGGTTCCCCCTCCAAATCTAGGGAGATTGGGATGAGGTGTGGGGGCTAAGAATGTTAGTGGAGGCTCTTAACTCTGAGGAAGGGGGGGGGAGAGCGCTTGAGAAGTGTGACGATGCTGGAGGACATTGGGTTCGGGCAATGTTTGGAAAACTGGGAAGGATGGAGGGAAATGCCCCCACAAGGCTCCAGGGAGGAGGGGAGAGATTGAGAGGACTTCTCAGGACTGAGGAAGGAGGGGGAGCTCAGAGGAGGAGGTTTTGTCACCCTTGGGCCTGGCAAAATTGGGATCCCTCTCGGGGTGGGGGCCAGGCTATGAGTGGTCTGTTAGCTATGGGGGGAGGGTGTGGAGGAAGATGTGGAAGCCGCTTGGGTAGAGGAGGAGGAGGAGGAGGGGACTGTCAGGACTGAGGGAGGGGAAGGTTGGGCACCCAGAGGGTCCTTGTGCAGCAGAGTGCAGCCAGATCCCGCGTGAGGTGACATCACGCCCCACCCTTGGGATCTCCCCCACCCCGCATTCACCGGAGGAACCCGCATCCACAAACCCTACCTCATCGGAGGGACTCCCAGCCCCTCCTCCGAGAGAGGAACACCCTCATCCCCATCGGAGGCACCCTCGACCGCTGCGGTCGCCCCCATCGAAGGGACCCCAGCCCTTCTCCCACAGGAGGGAGCCATCCCATGAAAGAAACTCCCCTCATTTCCGACCCCTTCCCCCTGCGTGGAACCCCTGTCTCCCGCTCCCAACGGAGGGGCCCATATCCCCCGCCCCTCCCCCATCGGCGAGATCACTGGTCCTCCGGCTGGCGCCGCATGCGCTTCACCTGCGAGGGCTGCGGACCAGGGTAGCGGTCGCGGCACCGCAGCTGGCAGCTCTGCGTGTCCCCGAGCTGCGGGGCGAAGGGGTCGCGGGCGGGCGGCGCGGGAGTGGCGGGCGGAGGCTGCAGCAGCAGCAGCAGCAGGAGCGCCATCAACGCGACCAAAGCCATGGCCAGGCCGGGCGCGAGGAGCGCGGGGGACGCCGGCTCCTGGCGGGCGCAGAGGATGCGGCGGCGGCGGGGACCGGGTCGCTGACGTCACCCGAGCGAGGCAGCCTGGGAAGGGGGGGCGGGAGATGCGGAGAACAGGCGGGGCGGCAGCGCTGCGGCACCGTCGAGGTGCGGGCGGGGCGGGGCAGGTGGATTGTGCCCGTGGCCGTCTGTTCCATCTGAGCGGTGCCGTGGCACGTCTCTCTTATTCACGGGAGAAGGGATCTCAGCAAGAGCTAGGGGCCAAAAGGAAACAAATAGGGTGACGCGATGTCGGTGTCTATTCGCCAGGGGGATCAGGGAGGGCCTCTAGGAGGAGGTGATGTTTGAGCTGACCAAGCGGGGAGGGCAATCGAGGCAGAGGGAACAGCGAGGACTGTGAGGCGGAGAGGTACTTGTTGGAAGAGGAGGTAGGAGGGCGGTAGGGCTGGAGCCCAGCCAGAGAGTGGAGATGGAGGGTCGTGAGGGTCACAGGGCTGGGTCAGCAAAGGCCTTGGGAAGGTCTGTGGTATCATCTCCTTTGATACCCAAGTCAGAGGGGCGGTAACTTGTGCGCAGTTCGCTTCCTTCAGGAAGCCCTCCCGGCCTCTCCAGGGCTCCCCCAGCCTCATCTCCCTCTGGCCCAGCCGTGATCCACAGACCTGGGGGATCTGGCCCCTGCTCCCCAAGACTGGGGTCCCCTTGACCCGGGGCTGAGTGGGAGGGGACACAGAGGTGCAGATAGGGGCAAGGGGGGTGCTGCTAAAATTTCTCCTCGTGGGAAAACTTAGGCAACAGGGACACTTCTGGCTTCCAAAACTGCCGCACTCCAAGGTGACAGACTGTAGCCCCTTGAATCTCCAGTTACGAAGTCCCCCTAGCCTCCTCTCCGTCAGGCATGGGAGTGGGGGCGCCCCTCTAAACCTGAGTTCCCTGCAAAGATGACCCCCCTCTCGCTGGCGTGCCTGGCGCAGGTGCCTGCCAAGGCGGCGCCGCGGCCCGCGCATCTTCCGCCCCGCAGACGGGGCGGCAGCCACGCGGGGTCGCCGGGTCAGAGGGCGCCGCAGGTTCCGGCCGAGGAGGAGGGGGCCCCGGGGGGGGCCTGGCGCACCCCCTTCCCGGGCCGGCTGCCGTGCTTTCATCTCCGCGGCCTCGGCCGGCCCCCACGTGGCTTAATCAGGCGCGGCTGTGCCTGGCGGACCCTGAACATCTGGATCCCGGCGCGGCCCCTCCCCCGCCCCTCCCCTCCCCTCCCCTCCCGGGCTAGGCGGTGGAGAGCCTGTGGCGAGGGTCTGCAGCCCGCCGTTTGCGAGAGTGCGAGGGAATCCCGCGTCTAACCCACCGCGCGCCAGGCCTGCGCCTTGAGAAACAGCCATTGGTTATGACCAGTACTGTCCCCCATTTCACAGGTGGGAAACTTAGGCCCCCTCGGCAGAGCCAGGATTCAAGCCCACACATGTCAATTCCGGAGCCCCGCGCGCTTAAGCCTTCCACAATTACTGTCCTTCACTCATTCCAAACAAAACACTTCCCAGGTGTTTTCTTGCGACAGCCCTATAAGGAAGTACTGGTAGGGCTGTCCAATTTACAGGTGAGGAAACTGAGGCTTAGAGTGGCAAAGAGGGTCGGCCCGGGTGACAAGCGAGAGAAGCATAGAGAGGCGGGCAGACTCCTGCCAAGGCTGGGGGTGGGGGCGTCGGTCATAAGAGGAATCGCTTAAAGCGCAACAAGAAGGAAGGACACCCCACGCCCTTTTGCAGAAGGGGAAACTGAGGTTGGAGGGCTTGGGCCGCTGGCCTAGGTCGCTGGAGAGAAGGAGTGAGAGGGTTTCACTGCGGCCCACCCACCCCCCTTTCCGCTCCTCGAGGCCGCTAGGGGCGGGAGCGGAAGGAGGACTTGACCCCGGCCCCCCAGGTGAGCCCCCACGCCCCTCCTGCAGTTCCCGAGGGAGCAGGTCCAGGTGAGGGGCGGGAGGGCCGGCGGGCGGCCGGGGTCGGGTTTCAGGAAATCCGCCGACATTCCTTCGGGGCTTAAGAGGGAAAGTTGACTCGGCGCCGCCCCTTGCCCCCCCTCCACTTCCTACCCCCCGGGGCGGCCCGGACTGGGGCGGCAGGCGGGGGGCGCTGCGGCCGGCCTGGGCGTGAATCAGCGGCGGCCGAGGTCAGGGCGGGCATCGGACAAGCGCCCTTTGTCCCTTGCTGCCCTCACCACGCGACCCCAGTGACCCCCACCCCCCAGCCGAGTACATGCTGGGGAGGAGGCACAGCACCCTGGCGCCGGCGCTTGCTGACAGTGAGGGGGAGGGGAAAGGGGCACAGATGTCAACCCACCCCCCCAACACCCCACACACCCCGCAGCGGGTGCCTCCTGGGACCCAGACATTGGAGATTCCTTAGGGTGCAGAGGGGCAAGGGAACCCAGGTCTCCGTGGCCCAGTGCAACTGACCCTGACCTGGACCTAGGCAGCTCAGCACCCCTGAGGCCCACCTTCAATGCCTATGGGATCTGAATTTTTAAAGTACAGAATGCACAAAGCTTGGGACCCAGACATCCCAGCTCCCCAGGCTTAGCCTCCAGGGTGGAAAAGGTAAAGTCTCACCTTCTCCCCCACACAGGTCCTGAACCTGGATTCTGCTGCTTCAACCCCATGTACGGGGCCAGACCCTCGCTGGCCCTGATTCCTAGGAACACTGGCCTGGAGCACAACGCAGCTCATCCCACCCTGAGGGGCTGTGAGCTCAGGGTCTCAGCATGCTTGAGGCAGCTCTGTGCCCTCCTCACTCCCACTGACTCTGGGTCCCTATGGGCCCCTGAAGGTGCTGTTACCACTGCCTCCTCCGGTGCCCCCTCGGTGCCCTTGCATTATGCAGGGAGCTGGGGCTGGAGGGTCTCCCACCAACCTAGTCCTTAGGTGCAGAGGGAGAAAGACTAAGGAAGAGCCGCTCCCCGGCCCAGGTGGGCCCCCTCCATCTGCTCCTCAGTACATTCCCAGCCACCTTTAAGGACTTGGGTCAATATTTGCCAGAAGTTCCGTCAATGCTGGTTCCCCTTCCTGCACAAAGAGGTGGTGCGACTGGGGAGGAAGGGGTTAAGCCACTGGGAGCACCAAGGGCAGGTAAGGGTGCACTTTGGGGTCAAATCTGTTTCCTTAAAGCCAAAGGTATGGGGTAAAGGTCACTCAGAGGGCAGAGGGCATGCTCCAGGGTGGGGCTGGGCAGGATTGGGAATCCAAAGGATCCATACCCTTCTATGGATAAGGACCAGAGAGGGGTGGCTACTGGCTTGGGTCACACACTATGTCTGGGGAGTGTGCCTCGCTGGGACTCCAGGCAGCACAATTCGCTGGGACTGTTTTCTTGGAGGGACTGAGAATTCTCCATCCTTTCCTTTTGCAAATGTTCATTGAACTCTTCTCCTGCGGCCCTGACTGGGCCCAGTATGGGGTCCTAATGGCTCTCCGAGTGCTTGCAGTCTAAAGAAAATAAGTCGCAAGAGAAAGATGATGTTCGAGGAGCTGTGTTACACAGACAATTTAAAAAGGTGAAGGGGATAGAGGGTGCATGGGAAGGGTGGGGGGCTCTCTGAGAAGGTGACAGTGACCTGTGACCTGATGGAAGAGAAGGTGCTAACTGGGGGAAGATTTGAGGGCACCGTGTACCTGCAGAGGGAACAGCAGATATGCAAAGACCCTGCGGTAGTAACCAGCCTGGTGTGTTTGGGGAGAGGGGGCTCACAGCTGGAGCAGAGTGAGAGAGAGGAGGGGAGGAGGAGGGAAGAGGAGGGGAGAGGGTGGTGGAGCAGACAAGACCTGCTTTGCTTCTTTTACAAGCTCCCTCTGCCCACTGTGTAGACGGGGCAGGAGTGCCGCCGGGGAACCCCGGGAGGAGGCTGGCAGCCTCCCAGAGGGAGGTGGTGGGGCCTGGACCCAGATGGGGTGGGGAGAAGGGGTCAGAATCTCCGAATGGGGATGTGTTTTGGAATCAGAGCCAACAGAATTTGCTGATGGATTGGACTTGGGGGATGAGCGAAGGAGAGAGTTGTCACGTGCACCTCCAGGTTGTGGGCCTGAGCACCTGGGTGGATGGGGGAGCCTTTTCCCGAGACTGGAGAATGACTCAGGGAGGAGCAGAGAATGGGGGGGAAATATCAAGATTTTGCTCCAGAAGCCTGAAGTCCTCCAGGATGGAGTCAGCCTTTACAAGGCAGGGGTGGTGGGGGAGGGGTGGCACCTATCTTGGAAACACTTCTATCGAAGAACTGCCACCTCCACTTTACCCTCTGGACCACCTGGCAGGTGGGACTATGGCCCCATTTTTTCAGAGGTGACAAACTGAGGCCTGGGGACCACCTCTGCTCCCACGAACATACCCCCACTGCCTGGCGCTGTGCTAAGCGCTTAGATTGTGGAGGCTTCTGCTGCATTGCATCTTCCCACAGAAGCCCTCAGGCTGGCTCGGCTGTGCTGAGGAGGAAACTGAGGCGAGAGGCCTGGTCAGCCCCAGTGAAGGTGTGCAGGTGTGCAGCCGGGCCAGGGCTTCACTCTCCCCTCACAAAGCATCCCTAGTTCAGACGGGGGGAGGTGCGCAGAGCCCCCAGGATCCCATCCTCCAATCCTCTTTTCTGACAATCTGGGGCTGAGCTGGGGACCCAAGTAGCACGGGTGGAGGGCAGCCTTGAGCAAACAAGGTGGGGACTCCTGAGCCCCCCTCAGTCACTTTCCCCCTTTGGCTGGTTAGGGATACGGAGGGAGGGGCAGGTCTCTAAGGGAACCCCTGGAAAGGGGAGTTAGAGCCCTTCCCCTCAAGGCACGCGGCTGGGGGCAGGGCTGCGACTCAGACTGCCGGGCAGAAGGCGCCCCGGCACTCTCATTCCAGGCCCCCTCCCCGCGGCCTTGGAGGCCAGGCGTCCTTTTCTCGTGGGCGCCCGAATCGGGTGGAGACCGAGAGGAGAGAGATGAAGCGCCCGGGCCGGGAGGGGTCCCGAAACCCAAGCAGTGGCCAAAAATAATAACACGGAGAAGGATCCCTGCGCAAGAAAAGGAAGATAAACTATGCGTCGCTCGCGGCAGCCGGCGTTACCTGGAGTCGGCGGGCGGCGGCCGCCGGAGCGATTACTCACTGCGTGGCGCACCCCACCCGCGGGCCGCTGAGCGGATTTTTCCGTGGGGGGGTGTCAATGAGTCCAGAGGAGGGGCCTCCTTACCGTTCTCCTCCTGAGAATCCCTCCTGCCCCGCGTACGGGACCCGCGCAGGCCGCCGTCCCCGCTCCCACGGGGGCTCATCTCTCTCAGTCGGCCCACGCGGGAGCTCCTTTCTGAGGCCCCCGGGAACCCCCGAAGAACCTCAGCCCCGTCCCGCTTGAGGAGGACAGCTGAGGCAGGGCGAAGGCCGGCGGACTCCGTGCCTTCCAGCTTTTTCTCCGTCTTTCCCTCCAGCAAAGCCTAGGGCTGAGGCTGCGCGCGGAGGACCGAGGAGAGGCGGGATGAAGTGGGGAAGTCCCCCCTCCCACTGGACTGGACTGAGACCGGTGGGACCCGCGCTCCGAGGGCGCGGGGCGGGAGGGGGGCGACTTTCTGGTCCCTGGGGAGAAAGGGGGGCTGGAGATGGGAGCAGGCGGGGCTCAGGGACCGTTCAGTGTGTGTGGGGGGCGGGGCCAGAGCTGGGGTGGGGGCCGAGACAGAGGATTTGGCGGGGAGGAGCGGGCCAGGGCTGGGGGCCGCAGGGAACACTGAAGGGGCACAGGGTGGAGAGCAGGGTGCAGGGAAGTGGGCGGGGGTAAGGACAAGGGATTGGGAGCGCCAGGTCCCAGATTGGGGGTGGGGAACCTGGAGCTGGTGGGGTTAGAAAAAGAGGTCTCAGGTCGGTAGGGGTTGAGTGGGGGGTTCTGGGCCGCGGGACAGGGCGCGCGTGGTGCGCGGCGGGGCGGAGGCCGGACGGGTGGAGCCGCGGTGCCC